CGCGCTTTTTTTTTGAATTTTTGCAGGTAAGGTGAAAATACAAAAGTGAAAACTAATAACACCATTGAGACTCTTCTATATGATTTTTGTCTATTCAGAACAATTAAAGATTAACGAAAGACAAAGTATAACAGACGATTGAAAATAACAACTCACAAATAAAACTTACACTTACTTTCAAAAGAGCTATGGACTCAGCTGCTGGACAGATGGCTTTAGTTCGGCAGCAGATTGCAGCAAATGGAGATCTGAAGGAAGTATCGGCCACATTACAAGCCTTTCTGAGGAAACATTGATTTGTATCACACTGACGTTTTTACGCATTCGAAACCCATAGGGCAGCCGGTTTTGGCCCTCGCATCGCATAGCTGCGGTTGGCCAGTGACAGGGTTGTAATGTACTTCGAGATGGTTTGGGCAAGTACCTAGGATCAGCAGCTACCTTGGAGGGCCAGTATAGACATAGTGAGTTGAAAGATTACGAACCAACACAAAAATCAATGCATTGCTCTTGACTGGCAAAGGAATTCCATTGCTCGTCACCAGGTATGTACTCCTTCTAAAAAAACTATTAACTTCTTTGTTATGCTCAGGCTACTTTCCACGTACCATTTCGCAGTCTCCAGTTCTGTAGTCGAAAGTCCAGGTCATTTCTTTGGAGATGAACCTACGATTGCTTCGTTCCGCCAACGGGGATCCGCAGACGAAGTCTGAGAGAAAGCTAGTTTGTAATTTCATAAGTTTCCAAGGTTCGAATAGTTCTAATTCTCTCTTGTGACTATTCGATCTTGCATTGATTTTTTAAACTTTGTAAATTTCACATTTGAGAAGCTGACAAAAACATATAGATTAAACCTATCGGAATTTGAGAAATAGAACGAATATTGGTACGAAATTTATGTGAAAAGCTATTAGAATGTTCAGAAAAAGAATCTATGTTGCGCTCAACTCATCTAAGCGAACTTTTATTTCAAGGTTTTGTTCGTTTTTTGAAATGTTTTTCTAATATTTTTACCTCTGCTAGGGCAACATGCTCCTTTCCTCAGATCAGCTTGTCGGGTGCAAGTGTAGTTCCTTGAACACTGGCTATCTTCAGTACATGTAGCGATTTTGTTGATGGAATATCTGTCAGGATGAGGATCACCGCGCAAACAAATAACTGTAAAGTAATTGTTTGCAAATTTCAGTCCGCGTTCGAGTTGTTCTAACTTTCTGCATTGCAAAAGTGAATGCATTCTCCTTTGGTCTTGAAGTTGTTTTCATTTCCTCCACAGCCAGTATAGGTAAAAGGGCGGCACACTCTCGATGGAGCGTCGTAGAAGTACCTAAACTAATGCTAACGAGCAAGAATAAATTTAAAAAATTATCAACCTTGTTTGCGGAGGGCCACCACATGAAGTTCCAGCATTGAGCGAAGCCTGACAAATTCGTTCTGCAAGATAAATCATTCGCCATTTTAGAATTTTGAAAAAAAGGTTTTCG